TTCCTTCTACTTTGACCATTTATGTTTTAATTCTTTTCCCTGTTTTAGTCTAAAAATTAACTTATATCCAAATAAGATAGAAAATAACAAATTAACAATCATATAATATAAAAATATTTTATTATATAACTCACACCTCCAATATAAACTCAATTTTTTTTTATAATAATATAATTTTTATGTCATGTGACAGTTAACGTGACATTTTCTGTCTAATTTTGAACAAATGTTATCCTTAAAAGTAAAATAAGAAAAACTTAAAACGTGAAGGGCAAAAGTGATAAAAAAAAAAAATTCAAAAGCCAAAGTGAAAAAATGGGCAAACATAAATAGGGTAAAGTGTAATTTATCCTTTACTGTTTTGAGGAAATTACAAAAAAAAAATAAAAAAAATCTTAGAGTTTGACTATAATTATAAAATAAATCATAAAATTTTAATTTTATTAGTTTAAGGGAGATTGACCAATAAGTCTTATATTTTGAACTTGTAATTCATATAGTCCCATATTTTTTCTTGTGATTCATTTAGTCCTTTTGGATATGTAATGACTCATTTGATCACCATATTAGAGTGTCATATTTGGAAAAAGTATATTAACGAGTTTTTTAGTGTCACATTATACCGCCACATTAGAGTGTCACATTTGAAAAAAGTACACTAAAGAGTTTTTAATTTTTTTAGAGTGTCACATCATACCCGCAATGTTGGAGTGTCACATGTCACGTTTGAGAAAAGTATAATGTCAAATATACTCGCCACGTTGCCACGTTTAAGAAAAGTACACTAAGGAGTCTTTATTTTTTTTTGAAGTTTTATATCATACTCGCCACGTTATCTCATTTGGAAAAAATATAGTAAAGAGTTTTTATTTTTTTTGGAGTAAAAATTTTGGTATGTCACATCATACCACGCCATGTTGTCGCATTTAGGAAAAGTACATTAAGGAATTTTTAATTTTTTTAGAGTGTCATATCGTTGGAGTGTCATATTAATACCTGTCACGTTGGAATATCACATCATGCCTATCACATTAATAAAAATGTATAGCTGTTCACCAAAACACTACCAAAATAAAAAATAGGATCACACGGAAAGAAACTTTCTACTAATAGGACTTAACAATCGTTGGAGTGTCACATTCATATTTGTCACATTGGAATATTATATCATACCTATCACATTAATAAAAGGGTATAGTTGTCCACCCAAATATTACCAAAATAAAAAATAGGACCATATGGTAAAAAACTCTCCACTAATAAAACTTAACAGATCAATAGAATAAACTTGAGACTAATTGAAGTACTTGTTTATGAGATGAGATTTATTAATAAATATCTCTTAAAAAAAAGGTGCTTAGGTGATCAATCCAAAGTTGGATTTTCTTTGTCTTAAGGTCCACATGCTAAAATATTGGGAGCTTCTATTTGAACACACCAATTCCACTTTTTACACATCCTTCTCAGTTCACACACCTTAAAAAAATAAATAAATAAAATTTACTTATTACACACACTTTTATTCCAATTATATCCTCATACACACAACTTTCCAACCCTCCCAATCCACACACCAACGACCACCTCGCCTGCGGCGACACAGCACCACCGTTCCCTTTCACTTCCCGTCGCCATCCCCACCCCTTACTCCACCACCGGCGACACTACCGCGAGCCCCACCTCATCCCCTCGATCTCTCTCTCTCTCTCTCAGTCGCGAAAATGGGGTTTCGGAGGTTGATAGTCGAACCAAATTCGTCTTCTTTTAGATTTAGGTTCTCCTCTCTCTCTGTGGGTGTGTAGAATTTAGGGTCGCGAAGGGGTAGGAGCTGCGGCGACGACGGTGTTGTGTTCCGAAGTGAGGGGTTACGGGGGTGGTGGAGAGGGTGAGTGAGCGACGAACGATGGGGTGGCGTGGGGCTTCGATTCGAGAAGAGGGAGGCTGGAGGGAGGCGACAGAAGGAGGCGACGGAGGGAGGAAGGAGATGATCGGAGGGGAGGCTCTGTATTGGGTATTAGGGTTAGGGTTTTGGTTAGAGAAGAAAGGGGTTTTGGTTGGAGAAGAAAGGGATATTTTGGTAATTTTATTTTATGATAAAAATGTAATAAAAAAAATGTCATTAAGTGTGTGAGAAGAGGGGAAGTGGTGTGTGCAAATAGAGGCTCCCTAAAATATTAAGTGCATAAGGACAAACTCTTGCGAAATGACCAAAATATCCACTCTACATATAAAACATACAAACACTTACATGTTCAAAACCAATTCCCCAAAACCCACACACTCTATCTCTCCTCCTCTCTTTTCATCCCCAATTCTAAGGCTTCTCTATTTTAAACCCCACTCTCCACTTTTTTGCCTCCTCTGATTCTCTCCCCTTTCTCTCTACCTCCTCATCTTCTTCGTTTTTGTCTCTAAACAGGGATGTGCTAGTTCTTATAGTTCCTCGAATGAGGGCTCTTTCAATTATCTCACCTCTGTGATTTGCCATTCTTTTGCCTATGCCAATACACTCTTCTTCAGATCTGGTTACAATGTTCAGGTCATCATCGACGATAATGATCCCAAAGAGAAGCTTCTCAATCGATTTCGAAGAGAAGTGACGAGGGTTGGCGTCATCCAAGAATGCAAAATAGAGGAAGGACTTTTCATATTCCTTCAAGTTTCCATTGGAAATCTTTCATTGAAGATATCCATGAAATAAAACTTCTAGTTATTTTGATATATATGTATATATATATATATATAAATAAATAAAATATTTAAATACATGGAGCAGTTTGAGACCATTTACGGTTTTAAGATTTCAATTTCAGATCCTAATCACTAGTCAATTTATGGATGTGAGGCCGCCACCATATACATCATCGCTGCCGCCACTAGATCTCCCGTTACCGTCCATCCCATGATTTGTCTTAATTGATCGACAAAGATCGGTGTTGCTGCCTCCGAATGTCACTAATGAATACCTAGATCTTGGAGATCATGCAACATAGACGTAGAAGTAGACTTTCCAGTTATGGAGACGGCCGGCATCTGAGATTACGTGGCGAATCTGGGTGTCAATGTACTTTGCTTTGGCGATCTCTTGTTGGGTCACAGGGATCCGTTCATTTATATCTCTCTCGCTCTCTCCTTTGACCTTTAATACCTGACTTTGTCTCTAATTTCATATCTGCAATTGGTATTTGAATTTGTGCAATTAGATTTGTAATTATGAAAGATCTGAAGAGATGAAGAAAATGAACAGATAAAAGGCAGATTTGTTAAAAACAATTGAATAGATAGGTTGGGATAGGTTCAAAAAATTGAATAGATAAAAAAAAAAAGATTTCAACAGATGAGGAAATAAATTTTGGACAGATAGAATTTTCACACAGACAGAATAAAAATTGGACAGATATAATAATTTTCAAACAGATAGAATAAAAATTTAAATAGATAGGTGTTAATAAAAATTAAAAGAGAAAAATTGAAAATAGAATGCTCTCTAAAACAACAAAATGTATTTCTCATCATAATAATTTACAAAGAACGAACTTCTTATCCCAACCCCTCCGCCCCCAGCAAATCTAATGTTTTACACCTTCTTTAAATTGGACTTTTCACCAATTAATCCTAAAAAAAAATTAGGGTTTAAATTAAGGGATATTTATCGATAAATCCCATCTCACAAACAAGTACTTCAATTAGTTTCAAATTTTTTCTATTGATGTGTTAAGTCCTATTAATGGAGAGTTTCTTTCCGTGTGAGCTATAACTTTTTATTAATGTAATATGTATGATATGCTATTCCAATGTGACAGGTATTAATGTGACACACCAACGACGTGACACTCCAAAAAAATTAAAAATTTCTTAATGTATTTTTCCTAAATGTGACAACGTGGCGTGGTAGGATGTGACACTCCAAAACTTTTACTCCAAAAAAATAAATAAAAACTCTTTACTATACTTTTACTAAATGAGATAACGTGACCAGTATGATGTAACACTTTAAAAAAAAAAAAAAACTCCTTAGTGTATTTTTCTCAAACGTGACAACGTGGCGGATATAATTTGACACTCTACTTTTCCCAAACGTGACATGTGACATTCCAACGTAGTGGGTATAATGTGACATTCTAAAAAAATTAAAAACTCTTTAGTGTACTTTTCTCAAATGTGACACTTTAATGTGACGGTATGAAGTGACACTAAAAAATTCTTGAGTATACTTTTCCAAATGTGACACTCTAATATGGCGGTCAAATGAGTCATTACACATTCAAAAGAACTAAATGGATCACAAGAAAAAATATGAAACTATATGAATTACAAATTCAAAATGAGGGATTTATTGGTTACACTTTTTTTTTATATTTTTTTATAATATATATATATATATTTTCAATTTAAACCATCGCTTATTTTCGTTAAAATCGACTTAAAAAGAGTATGTTAACTATTAAACTTAATGTAAATATACATAAAATGTCTAAAATATATATTTTAATTAAACTTATTTTGTCGTTAATTTACTTAACCGAAATAAAAAATTTAAATTTTTTTATTTGTAATTTCCCCTATCATTTTAATGTTCAAAAATTTATTTATGTTATAGTCTCTCCCCTTATTTTTTTTTATTGAGTAAATTACAAATATGCGTAGTAAGATTTGTTTAAATATGAATTGTCCCGTGAGAATCTGAAAATTATATTTTGCTTCTTAAATTTTTTAATTTCATAACAAATAACCATTTTTGTCAATAAATCAACAAGCCAATTAATAATTTTTAATGATGTTAGAAATATATTTGAATTAATAATTCAGATAAATTTATTATTTTATATGAGAGTAATTAAGAATTTTATTTTTTTAATTAATTTTATTTAATAAAAAATTCTTAAAAAAAATATTTATAATTTTTAAAATCACAAAAAATAATTTATATTTTATTTTAAATAAATAAAGGAAATGTATATCATTTTTTAAGTTGAAATCATATTATTGGTGATGTTCAAATAATGTTTTGTAATTTTAAAAAATGATGGGGTAATGTAAGCTCTACCACAACAGTTGACAGCGTGCATTGTTCACAACTTCTCCCCAAAGACAGCTGGACGAAACGGTGCCGTTGAAATCGTTTAGACTCCCCCAGTCTCCATTCTCCTGAAACCACCGCCGTCTACAGCAGCGAAGCTCTCAACAATGGCTGCTCCGAGAGTCTCGATCGTCTTCGCAGCCCTAATCCTCTCGTTGCTGATGTATTTGGCCGAGTCGAGAAGCGACTCGAACCCGGTGTACATGCCGTGCGCGGACACCACGATCCAGAAGTCCGACGGGTTCAGCTTCGGGATCGCGTTCTCGGCTAGGGGTAACTTCTTCGTCAACACATCGGTCCAGCTCTCCCCCTGCGACAAGAGGCTTTCTCTCTCTCAAGGCGCTCAACTCGCTCTCTTTCGCCCTAAGGTCGACGAGATCTCTCTCCTCACCATCAACACCACCACCTTCTCTCCGGTACACCAATCTCTCTCTCTCTCTCTCTACACTCATGTTTCGGATATTGAACTCGTTGATCAGTAGGGATTTTAGATATTTTTGGTCAAGTTCTAGGGTTTTCACGATTAGGATCTGTTTGGTTGCTGCGAATTTTGGGGAAATGAAGAGAGAGTAAATGGGGATTTCAATTTGGTGTTATTATTGCTTTGCACTCCTCTCTCTCTGTACACTATCTTTAGGGTATTAATCTTTTTGATGAGTAGGGATTTTAGATCTTTTTTTGGTCAAGTTTTAGGGGTTTGATGATTGAGACCTGTTTGGTTGCTGCGAAAATGGGGGAAAATGAAGATAAAGAGTAAATGGAAATGGAAATTTCAATTTGGTGTTTTTATTGCTAATTTAGATCCTGACAAGTGTTTATCCTTTGAGATTTTTTATGGTTCTTTTAGAACATGATGTGGTTAGATTGTGAGGCTAGGCTATAATTTTGAGGTGATGATTTTTGTGTGTGTGTTTAGATCATCTCCAATCCTTCACCAATTACTTCATCAAATTTAAAATTAATGAAAATTTTGTGAAAATGAGATTCAATTCTTCATCAAAATTGTATGAAATCAAGTTTACACCAAATATTTTATCAAATCATGTACGGATCAAATCTTTCACCAAATTTTTAACAACGCTTTTTACACTTTAGTTTAATGAAATTGTTAAAAGATGAAGGATTGGAGGCAGTTTTTTTTTATTTTTATTTTTTCCCACATGAATTGGTTAATTGAGGGTTTTTGGGATATGTTAGGTATCTTTAGAAAGATTTTATGAAAATTTTGATTCTCACCATTGGAATGAGTCATAGGTGAAGGGTTGGAGGTCATCTTAACCAAGTTCCTTTTATTTTGTTTGTGTTTTACCTTCTAATCCTTCCTAGACAATCGTTGACATCATCTTAACCAAAGTTCCTTACATATATATGTATATGTATCTGTATAATGGGGAGTGTGTGTTCAATGCTGGCTTTGATGTAGTCATTTGCGGAAGGATCACCTTATCTGAGTTCTTTATATCTTATTGTGGTACAACAAAATTTTCTTGTGAGAACTTGAGCTGATCTTTGAAGGACTTAATTCCATAAAATCAAACCTGAATCTGTTAATAGATCAATATTTTTTTCTGAATGTTATCACATATTTTTAACTAATCATGTGATTGTTCCTGATGTTTTCCAGTTTTGTTTATACATCTCGAACCATCTCAACCTGGCTGGGATTTTACATGACTAGTATAATAGGATCAACTTTGGACTTTGACATGTGCTTTTAAAATTTTTGTCCAGCATTTTACTGTTTCCAATGTCTTGTATACGAGACATGGATAAGACACAATACAAACACGTTGACACAATAAATTTAAAAAAACTAGGACACAAATGCGGTTCGGACACACCACAAATAATTATATCTTAATATTAATTTATCTAGGAATATATTATATAATATATATATATATATATGTGCGTATAAAGTTAAATAAGACAAAACTTAATCAATTTAATATATTAAGGAAAAATTGTATCGAATTCTCTAATATGAAATTTTAGACTACTGGACCACAGAAGTTAAAAATCAAACAAACTATAACAAACATTTATAATTGTAACATTTCTCTTATCCTCCTAACCCATTTGCGACTACAGTTACGTATCTTTTTCGTTTTTCATTTAATTTTATGTGAAATTTCTATAGGATTATTCTAAGAAGTACGAACACGGACACGTGACACGACTCAGACATGAAAAGTTTTAAAAAATGTAAGACACGACACGTTGGGGACACGTGCAAAACATATAATTTTATATATTTATTATATGTTATATTTTTAAATATTTAATATTTATTTTATATCAAATATATAATTTTATTAAATTTATCAACTTTAGGTATGTTATTTTAGTAAAAAATTTAATTTTTTTTTGAAAAAAATGGTCTTCAGCGTGCCCCCAACATGTCCTCACCGTGTCCCAACGTGTCTGTAGCGTGTCCTCAATGTGTCTGCAATGTGTCCGCAGCGTGTTCCAAGTGTCCTAGCGTGTTTGACATGTGCCTAGAGTGTGTTCGGCGTGTGTCCATGTCCATGCCCGTGTCCGTGTTCGTGTCCAACACGTGTCGGACATTTGTACATCACCTCCGGAGAGGTGTCCATACTTCATAGGGATTATTCTTAAGAATTAGACATTTTTTAAGGGTATAAGATATTTATGTCAAATTCTCAAATTTTGAAAACCCTACGTTAGCAAATATGTCATAAATGCTGGTCTCATGTTTATTTTTTAGTTATAGACATGGTCAAGAAGTGATGCACATGTTGCAAAATGAGTGTCGGACACATGTTCAAAATTAAGGCTTTTCTTTTTAACCATGGACACGGAAAAAAGAGTGTTGTACATGTGTCCGAGAGTATCCAAGGAGTGTCGGTGTCCGACACGGATATGTCACCCTCTTAGAAGTGTCCATTCTTCTTAGGTTATTACAAAACCAAACCAAACTAAATCTTGTGTTGACTACATGAATTATTTTTCTCCATTCAGCTCTATCAAGAGTTATATGTTCAGTTAAATTAAATAAATTCATATAATTTTTCAGCACCACATTCAATGTCAACTTAGTTAGGTCTTTTCTTTCCCCTCCCATCTCTACTTGTGGTGATTCTATCACTCTTACTTATTGTTGTATCTGTAGGTCTTTGTTGTACATGACTAAACTGTTTTAACCTGTTTTCTCTTAATTCATCTTCAATAGGTGCTACTCCCACCATTTCATCATGAATATATTCATTTCTAATTCTATTTTTTCTAGTTTTACCATACATCCATCTAAGTATTCTCATTTTATGTATAAATATTTTATGCACATGTTTTTTAGTTGCCTAATCTCGTAGAGCATCATTGGTCTTATAGTTATTCTATAAAATTTTGGAGAAATTTCACCTAAGTGGTGGCTATAAAATATTTTCAAATTAGTGATAAACTTTACAAATATTAAAAATTGAAATTATAGAACTTTTTATGATTTTGTAATAAATTTTTGAAAAGTTTACTGCTAGGTACTTTCTCCTAAAATTTTCCTTTCAATTTTGTTGGTTAGATCACATAATATGTTAGATGCACTCCTCCATTTGAGTTAACCTATGTTGATTCTATGAATCGTATCATCGTCAACCTCATAATCCTTATTAATAATCGAACCTAAGTAACAAAAATATTCACTAGTTGTTATCTCCTGGTTTTCAATCGTTATTTATCCATTATTTTTATTTCCTTTTTTGTTGAAATTACATTTCATATATTCAAGTTCATTGCTATTAATTTCAAACCCTTTTGACTCTGGTGCTCCTTTCCAAATTTCTAGTTTAGTGTTGATTCATTACTTAGTTTCATCTAGAAAAGTAGACAAAGCTTGGACACATCGTTAATAATTAATATCTTAATATTATATTATCTAGGAATATATTGTATAATATATTTATATATGTAATATGAACAAAATTAAATACTTATTAAGTAAAGCTTGTATTAAATTCTCTTATATGAATTTTTAGACTGTTGGACAATAGTAGTTAAAAATCAAAACTGATCATATATAATTGCAACATTTCTCTCATCCTTCTAAACCATTTGCTAATACATTTACGTATATTTTTCATATTTCATTTAATTTTATGTGAAATTTCTACAATATTATTCTTAAGGCTTAGACATTTTTGTAAAGGTATAAGATATTTATGTCAAATTTTCAAACTTTGAAATCATACGTTAACAAATGTCCAATAAGTATTAGTCTCATGTTTATTTTTTAGTTATAGATATGGTCAAGAAGTGACGGACACGTTGCAAAATGAGTGTTAGACACATGCTCGAAATTAAGATTTTTTTTTTTTAATTATGGACACGGAAAAAAGAGTATTAGACACGTGTTGAAGAGTGTCGGTGTCTGACACGGATACATCACCTATTTAGAAGTGTTTATGCTTCTTAGTGGAAATAATATTAAAATGTGTAACTAATTCTTCATTAAACGGGTTATCCGTGTCACTGGGAAGCATGGATACAGATACGGATACCGATACGGCGATATGGATACGGCGATACGCCAAAATCTGAAAAAGCAAGATACAGATACGACGGAGATACGTTTGTAAAAAAAATTATTTTTATAATTTTATTAATGTAATATGCATGAAATACTATATTAAATTAAATTTCAATACTTGAAGAGAAATTTCATAACATGAGACAACCTCACTTTTAAAAGTAAAATTAATACAACATTAATATTTCTAGCATCATTTGGGAACAATCCAAAGGTTTCACTTAAAATAATCCATAACTCACAATATATAGTAATATAAAAGGGAAAAACAAAATAAAAAAAAAGAAAGAAAGAAAAAAGAAAAAGCAGTAGTAATAGTATAACATAAAGGGAGGAAAAAAGATATCAGAAAGAAGATAATTGAGAGAAATAAAAAGAATAAAGCAGAATCAGAATAAGAGATAAAAGGGGAATAAATAAAAAATAAATAGAAAAGAAGCGTGAGATAGCAAGAGCAGAGAGAACGAGAGAAATAGAGATGATAGTGAGAAAAGAGCAGAGAGAGAGAGAGAGAGAGACAAACCTGTTTGCTGTCTTGATCGAGATGGAGACGAGATGAGTGACCAGATTTGCTTCCTTCCTTGCCAGATTTGCCTCTCGGATTTGAGTATTTGAGGTTAGGTTAGGGCTTCTCACATTTTCTTCTTTTTTCATATGGATTTGAGGGATAATTTGTCTTATTTTAAATTTAAATTTACATATTTTACGGTTTGACCCACAAAAAACTTTTGAAAAAATTATGTTTTTTGCCTCCGCCGTATCCCAAAAGTATCTGGCACATATCTCCCACAAATCCATGCGTATCCAAAATGTATCTGAAATTAAAAAAGAAAAAAGAAAATCAGATACTCTTTTGCCGTATCCAATATGCATCCTAGTGTATTGGATGCGTATCCATATCCGATACGTATCCCATACTCGTACCCTGCCCATTTTGGAGTATCTGTGCTTTATTGTTGTGTCAACTTTGTGTTATGTATGTTCGACGCTAACTTGACTTTTTTTAATAGTTTTGTTATTGGGTTGTGTGATATACATGTTTGTGTCAAAAAATGATCAATCCTAACCTGCTAACTTTGTGTACAATTCGAGTCGTGTTATCATGTCATGTCGAAAATTCCCACCCTTAGATGCAGCCCTACAGTGATTGGGACACAAGGCTTAGTTGGTTGGCCAAAATTAATTCTCTTTTCCTCTCTTTTATAAGTATGCAAATACATAGTGAGAGGAAAAAAGAAAAAAGAAAAAATGAAGGGAAGGGGAGCATCTGTTACATGTGCCATTGCCTCTGATTTGGTAGATGATTTGGTGATACCATCAATTTGGTATAAGCTGACTCTGATTTTTGTTTTATTATACATGGTATGATTTGTATTATCACAATTGCCAAAATGCTGTTTAGACTTATTGGTCATATATTGCATTCCAAAAATTCAGTTGGTGTGGTAGTATGGATTTTGATGCTACAAAAATATGATATGTAGATAACCTTGTGACAGGTAATAATGTTGCATAATTTAGTGTGACCTTTTGGTGATGAAAGAAGATATTAGGATGTGCTTTGTGATGCTACCATTTGTTGATTACTGTTGTAAGAACAAAACTTGGGTCCATTAGAGGAGTGGAAGGATCCATCAGAGGGTTTCTTGCGTTTGTTATTTCCTTCTTGTAAATTCAAGCCTGATTCAGGAAGATCTTTGTAATCTGTACATGACAGTGTAGTTTTATTGCATTGATAGCTAGCTTTAATGAAATTTAATGTCAATATGACAAAAAACCACATTTGATGAAACTATGCTAATGTTGTGGGGCATTTTTGAACTTCTACACTGTAAGCAAAGCATGCTGTACTACTATATAACTCATAGGTTGCCTTTAGAATTTTTGATTTCAAAAGAATGGATTTGGCATCACTCATTCAAGGAGTATATCCTTTTTCAATGTAGTATTTTAGATTTAGATTCAAAAAATTTGGGAGCCTTAACATTGATGGATTTGAAATAACTTGGTAAACATAGTTATTTGAAATCCTTCCATCAATGATCTATTAGTAAAAGGATGCTAACAAAATGCATCTCCACTATCTCTATTCAGTCATCTACTTCAGAATTATCAATCTATCTCCAATAGTTAACATTCCTACAATTTTATAAAGTTTAATCTTTAATCCCTTTATTTCAAACCCATCATTCAAATGGAGCCTTTAATCTTCTGTTATCTTTTTGGGTTTGTCAGGATTCTACTGGTGGGTATATGGTTGCATTTGCTGGTCGAAAATATGCTGCAAGATCTTCCCCTGCTTTCGTTGCAAATAGTACATACTATGTTACCAGCTTTACTCTTGTAAGGAGATAACATTGTCATGTTTGCAATTTTTTACCTGAATTTAATCTCCATTACATATATACTAGAACTTGCATGATGTTGTGAATGCAGGTTCTTGAATTCAACAAGGGTAGGCTGGTAAACTTGTATTGGAAGAGAGATGGCTGTGCCACATGCTCAGGCAACTCTAACTTTGTGTGCCTCAATAATCAGGACTGTGCAATCAAAACAAGCAGCTGTAAGAGCCATGGCGGTTCTGTAGATTGTAGCCTCGGGATACAACTGGCATTCTCTGGCACTGATAAGCACGAGTCAGTTTTCAACTCTTGGTATGAGGTGAAGAACCTTCGCCAGTACTCCCTCTACGGCCTTTATTCGAATCTCAAGAATTCCCTTACTAATCAGTATAACAGCTTCTTCTGATTGAGTTTCAAGTGGTTTGTAGATTTCACTGTGAAGTCTGTTGTGTTGTGTTTTGTTGTTTTTCTTTTTACTTTGTGTATTTTTTTCCCTTGTTAGTATTTGAAGTTCAAATCGGTCCCTCTTTCTCCAAAGAAATTTTCCATCCTCTCCTTCCGGACTCAATCAAACTTCTGTAAATCTTCACACTACTGGACTATTTGTGATAATTAAGAGAATATTGAATGCCAATTTTCTTATTATGACTGGTTGAATGTTTCTTTTCCTTGCATTTGATAGATTAACGTGAGTCTAGATGATATGATTGGCTTGACAGCAACTAAAGTAGAGGCGGAGTTGCTTAGACATTCATTAATGGAACTGAATTTACTAGGCTAGAGACAAAAAAAATGTGAGTCATAGTCGTGTATGGACCAGTGACCAGTTTACTGCCACGGATGTACTCCGATACAGATAGGTTGAGATATGAGACACTGTTAATGAGGTTCTATACCATGTTAGCATTAGATGGGAGGAGAAAATTATGAGAAAGAGGAGTTCGTATTAAAATTGGTAAATTAATTATTACAAGTAGCCCATTTATAACCCTTTAGGAGCATATTTTAATGACTCTAAAAAATATTCTTTAAAGGCTCACATTTGGTTATAATGATGGAAGATGGTCATGTTTGGTTTGGTTTTTAGAAGTATGTTTTGAATTTTTTTTCTAAAAATCCAAAATTTAGTTTTGTGAAAAAAATGAAAAAATAAAAGTAATTATTTTTATATAGTTTTATTTTTTTGGAGAGTAGAAATAATTTTCTAAAATTTGAAAATATATTTTTGATGTTTATTTTTGTCAAATTAATTTTTATTTTTTAAAAAATTTTAAAAAAGAATTTTAGAAAATCAAACCAAACATTGGAAATATGATTTTTTTTTTTTTTGAAAATTGTGTGAATATTCTAGGGGTGCTAAGTGGATATTCCGATTCATATAAATTGATTGAACTGAGCTGATCCACCGTATTTTGGACGGATGTGTGATGTGGACGGTTGTGGATTGATTTTTTCCTATCTGCCTAGTTTTGGACGGATGACGGATTTGAAGTTTCTTTGATCGCAACCGAACCGTCAAACCGCGAGCACCCTTAGTAATTTATAAGATTTTATATTTTCAATTTGTTTAGATATTCTATTTATATTTTCAATTAAAAAGAGTTTAGATATTCTGTTATGTTTTCAATTTGAAAATCCTTTTATCAAATGGCAAATGTTAATATTTGGTATTTTTTTGTGGAAAATATAAGACTTAATTTTGTCATTTAAAAAAAAATAGTTTTTGAATTAAATAAAAAAAAGAGTAATAAAATAGTTTTGATAATGCATGGTTTTCTTATATGTATTTATTATTAGTATTTGACAATTTACTTAATAATCTTTTGGTTATGTTGAGTTGGATTGTTATCAAAAAAAAAAAAAATGTTAATAAGTTGTTGTATTATGTTCACAATTTATAAAATCGAGACTGAACTTCCGAACATATGCCCAAAATTCGAGAACATAGGCCTGAACATTGTTCATTTGTTCAGGAATAGGTAACCGAACATTTCTTATTTGTTCGTGAACAGATAATCGAAACTCATAGAGATTGCATAATCCACAAAAAAGGAAATTTTGAATCAACAACAAACAAACCCTACATTTATTTTCTCAGGTTATGAACAAGTATGTATAGATAAAGTAATAATTACCTTCGTGAGTTTTGTAAAGATTTTTGAGAGAGAGACTTTTTGGGGTGTAGGGGTATGCATTTAATTGAATGGGTGCAATATTTTCACAAGAATAATTTTAGTATTATTTGGGAGGAGAAATTTTTTATTTTAAGAATTTTTAAATTTATAAGTGAGGTCCAAAGAAATAAGAGTACAAAATAATTGATAGGATGCTAATAGCAGCACTCCTTTTGAAACATGATACTAATGGGCATCCAAGAGGGCCCAACCCACAGATCAAGGCCCAGTTGATATCCCAGTGATCAAAGCTCAACAACTCTGACAAATCAACACTAGGCCCAGGCCAACAACATTCAAACACTTGCCAAACAAAAGCCTAGCTACGTAGGCAGACAAAGATCCTGCAACGTTATCGCACCCATACATCAGCCATTAATGAGGCTCTCACAACATTAAATACAACAACCCCTTCACGTCAGAGGAGGCAGACACACCATGAACGATGCGAGTTAGAATGTAGACTTTCGGCCAATACGGCAGCCTGGAATAGACAGGGAAATGATGAGAAAATGATATACGGCAGCTTCCGAAATAGGTAAAAGGTTAAGTTCTTTTTTCCTCTTTTCTCTCTCGATACAATCAATCTAATTCTAATTGGATCGTCGGAGGGTCCGCCGGGGGATTACCTTCCCCTTTGGATCTTTTTGCAGGCACCTCCTGTGGGCTTCAAGACCAGCAAAGCCGTCAGAAGTGTGGATTAACCGTGGCCTATCGTCCGTTGGAATTACTACATCATCAGTTGGTGCTGTCTGTGGGAACCTCCATTTCGGAAGGATAGTTGTGTTCACTGTCGTCGGAAGTAACCCCGTAATCATTCACACCCGGTATTAGAGTGGATGGTCACGACTAGATCCATGGCTTCCCAACACAACACTGGTAACCCCAAAGTCGAGCCCTCCAACCCAAATAACCTGCCTCCATATTTCGTAGAACTTACCAACAGCATCAACTGAATAACTGAGCAGAACCAAGTCTTGATCAATGCCTTACTCTAGCGTGACCTGCCTATCCTGCCCCCACCACAGGCAATAGTTCCCCCGCACCCAGAACAAGTCCACCATCACCATTAATTCCCACCACACGTGCCTCAAAGAACATTTCCACCTTTCGCCCTGCGGCCCCAATCGTCGAATCTTGACGGTTTGCACCTCCCCGTCGGGCACGCAACCTCGACAAGATATGCCACCATTTTTCTATAACCACCCCTTACCACTTCAAGCGGTCGCCTAAGAAGGTGAGGCTAGCAATGTTCAACCCCCGATCCCTGTTTGTGGGGATAATGCTCCCGTCTGGTATGAAGAACTACGGGCCATGAAACTCCAACTATAGGGGGTCATGCAGAACATACACCACAAGGCTTCCTCCACTGTCAACTCTCCTTTTACCGCTTCCATCTGGGATAAAGCTCTCCCCCCAAGTTTAAAATGTCATCGATCGATACCTTCGATAGTACCACTGATCTTGTTGACCATGTAGAAACATATCAGACACTCATGATCTTACATGCCTTTCCAGACGAAATCATGTGTCGCACTTTCCCTGTCGCGTTGTAGGGGTCGGCCTGTCTTTGGTTCAGTCAGCTTCCTCCAGACTCAGTCACTTCATTTCGCCAGCTTGGCGAATCCTTTTTGAGCCATTTCATTGGTGCTCAGCGACAACGACATCCAGCAACTCAACTGCTAAACATCTGGCAAACAAAAGATGAGTCATTACGCAGCTATGTCACCCGCTTCAACATCGAAGCCCTACAAGTGAAGAAAATGATGACAAGGTCATTCTCACAGCCTTCATGGCCTGTTTGCGTCTGTATGATTTCCTCTTCTCCCTCTCCAAAAATCCCTCGACCACCATGGCCTTCCTTCTTGCCAAGTCTCAAAAATACATGAACGCCGAAGACTCTTTGGCAGCTCGCCAAGACTCCACATCCAAAGCCCCGCCCTCGAAAGAAAAAAGAAAATAGCCTAAACCCTAACCCTCGCAATATACGTGCCGACCCCCCATCACACCCAGACCGGCCTGCACACCTGGATCGACCGGCCCCAACCCACCCACCTGGTCGGTTCGAGCGGCATACCCCCTCAATTCACCCATGGAGCAAGTTCTGAACCAAATTCAATGAGACTATAACCTAAAATGGCCTCAACCATCTAGGTCTTCCTCCAACTGACGGGATCAATCCAAGTACTGCTGCTTCCATCAGGACCACGACCACAACACTGATGAATGTGTCAACCTAAAAGACTAAGTCGAGGACCTCGTCCACCAGGGATGCCTCAGCCGATTCACAGCAGCCCGACCCCCGTAGAGGTCTAGAATCGGTCCCTCAACCAATAACTGCTAACTCACTCCCCCTTGACGACCAGCACAACCCGAGCGGAATGATGACCGGCCTCAGCACCAACCCCGAGCTCATGGGGACCCTCCCCCTCCCCGTTAGGTGAAATAAGGGTCATTGTCGGCGGTCTTGCGTGCGGCGGACCGTTGCGGTCGGCGCAGCGAGCTGAGCTTTGAAAAATTTGACAAGGATCAGATAAAGAAGTAGCCACGATAGACCAACCCTACAAGTAACCGAAGCAATGGTCAGAGCCAGTCACCTTTACAGTGGAAGACTGTACAGGTGTTCGTTATCCTCATGATGACCCCCTAGTCATCTTCGCTCTTTTATCAAACTACAAAGTCAGGAGAGTTCTGGTCGACAACGGCAACTACTCAGACATCATATTCCTCAATGCCTATCCCCAACTAAAGGTCGGAGAAGAGAAGTTGTCCTCCCTCAACCAATAACTGCTAACTCACTCCCCCTTGACGACCAGCACAACCCGAGCGGAATGATGACCGGCCTCAGCACCAACCCCGAGCTCATGGGGACCCTCCCCCTCCCCGTTAGGTGAAATAAGGGTCATTGTCGGCGGTCTTGCGTGCGGCGGACCGTTGCGGTCGGCGCAGCGAGCTGAGCTTTGAAAAATTTGACAAGGATCAGATAAAGAAGTAGCCACGATAGACCAACCCTACAAGTAACCGAAGCAATGGTCAGAGCCAGTCACCTTTACAGTGGTAGACTGTACAGGTGTTCGTTATCCTCATGATGACCCCCTAGTCATCTCCGCTCTTTTATCAAACTACAAAGTTAGGAGAGTTCTGGTCGACAACGGCAACTACTCAGACATCATATTCCTCAATGCCTATCCCCAACTAAAGGTTGGAGAAGAGAAGTTGTCCCCTCTCTAAACCTCTCTGGTAGGCTTCATTGGTGATCGGGTCACATCCACGGCCTCCATCGACCTCCCCATCACCATTGGAGAGTATCCACGATAGTCCACCAAACTTCTTACTTTTCTCATCGTCGACTGTTCTTTGGCTTACAACATCATATTAGGGCGCACCGCCTTTAATGCCCTTCAAGCCGTAACCTCCACGTACCATCTAGCCATGAAGTTTCCCACTAACCACGGGGTCGGCACTGTGAGGGGTGA